TATATATCGTAGGATCGCTAAAAACCCTAAAACCTAAACCCAAGGCATATTCATTCCTGAAAGGGCGGGGGTTTGGGAACATCTGGGCTCCGGGGGGCGACTCCTGGGGTCCTTGTAGGGTAGGCAGCTCTTGGATTTAGAGTTTAGTGTTCGGGGTTGGAGTTTAGGGCTTATAAGGCCTAGGTGGGCAGATTCGTGCTTTATTAGCTTAAGCTATGACATCGCCTGCTAAGCGTGTACGTAGAAAAACATACCTGGGGTTTAAGGGCGTTGGGTGCATTGTTGGTGTTAGTTTTAGCAGGCGTAGCAGAACATATTGTATGTGCAAATATCTATATATATACTATATGTATATATATATATATACACATATATATATATATATACACACACGCACACATATATATATATATATATGTGCATACGCATATACCTGCCCTTCTGCAAAGTTAGGCTTTGCGTGGTCCTGGGCTCATCAACTTAGACGCCAGTGTAGGCCCCCGCCGAAAACCTAGCAGCACCACCCTGTTATCACCCTTATTGAAGGACCAAGTACAGGGTGGGGATTGTTGGTGAATCAGATGCTTAGCATGTAGGTGTAGGACAGTGTGGGATTCTGAGGAGGGCTTAGAGGACCGTCGTAACAGTCCCTGCCAGGCTTGTCCAAGTCCGAGTGCAAAGCAAAAACAACATCTAAACTGTAAACCTTAGACACCAAAATCTACGAACCACTACAACCCTAGGACTATCGGGTGAAAACCGGCACCCTGTGCTCCACACTCAGGCTCTGCCCTGGCTGGGCCACTTCTTCAGGACCTGAGGGTTTAGGGGTTGGCTTTACTAAAGCAGTTAGGGGCATAGGGTTTGGGGGCTTACGGTTTGTTGGCTTAGAGTTTAGGGGTTCAGCGTTTGGGGTGTAGGGTCTTTGGGCGGTATGGTATACACCAGCATAGATCAGCCTACTAGAATCCGCGTCGCCTTAGGGATTCCGATAAATTTCAGACAAGGGTTTCTACTGCAATCTAATCGAAAGGGGTATCCTTCAGGTTCTGGTAGCAGGTGACGGTGGATGGTATTTTGGGGATACTGCTTAAAGCTAGGAGTTATGTAGGATTAGGGGGACCCTTGGAAATATAGACCCTCTCAAAAACCCTGAACCCTGCACCCTGAACCCTGAACCCTAAACCAAAAAAACCCTGAACCCTGAACCCGAAACCCGAAACACTAAACCCCAAAACCCCGAACCCTCGTTCATACTCCCGGCTCCCCGAACCTCAAACTGCAAAGCCCCCAACTCCAAAACCCTTCACAAATCCCATAGGAGACCCTGATAAGACGGTTATGAAGCCTTAGTCAGACCTCAGCCCTAAGCCCTACCCTAAACCCTGAACCCTAAACCCTAAACCCTATACCCTATACCCAAAACTCCCGCAGCCGATGTTTCCGTTGTTGCCACGAGGCGCGGCCTTCGATTTCAGAGGCCAAGCCCGTCCCTCCGAAGCCCTGGGTGCTGGAGCCGTACTATGGGCAGTTCTGTAAAATTCTAGGATAGCTTTTAGGATCCTTTGTCTACGGGTGCCGTACTATTTTGGGAACTTAAGAAGGGACCCCATATCAGCCTATAACATCCGAAAAGCTCGTTCAAGATGTGCTTCTGTTGCTATGATTTCGTCTTCAAATCTTATGATCTTATTATTGAGGTGCTTATATTACTACTCAGGTCTCTTTGTTTATATCTATACTGTAATATACGCCCCAAACCTTTTTCTGATCATCTGGGCCCTTATATCTCTTCTGAGTGCTCGGGGCTTGGGGGCTTAGTTTAGGGTTTGGGGTTTAGGGTTTAGGTGCTACAATGTACACGAAACCCTTGTGTTCTGATTGCTAAGGCCCCTGCATTACTTCCTAGGCGCTCAGGGTTTTATCGCTTCTAGGGCTTAAAGGTTTAGTATAGCGGCCTTAATAATTAGAAAAGGGTTTGGGGTATAGTATACTATAGTAATAATAAGGAACCCCCAAAGCCTTGTTCTAATTATTAAGGCCCCTGCATTATGGGTGCCGGGCCAAGTTGAAGGTTCATTGTTTAGGGGTTTCGGGTGCAGAGGCTTGGGGGGAGGGGCTCAATTAGAGCTTGAGGAGACTTGGTAGGCAGCAGGGTTAGAACAGAGGTAGGGTGTAGGGATTAAGGTGAAGTGTAACTGCGTTTATGACTTCTTAGAACCACAAGCAAGGCACTGGTGAACTTTTCTTGAGACCCGTCAAAAAATCCATAGGTAAAGCCCCTAAACCCTCGTTTCCCAAAGCCCGTGGTTTCAGAATCCCCAAAGGCGAATGATTGGATTCGAGGTATGGGTTTCAGAAGCTTGGGTTTGGGGTGTTGACGGGTTTGGGGTTTAGGGTTTAGGGTTTAGGGTTTAGGGTTTAGGGTTGGCAGTTTCTTGTGTGCTCTCGTTTGTTGTGTGATGTTTCCTTCCTAAGCCCTGAACCTGTGTATAGGTGTTACCAGCAAGTTGATTCTTCGCTTGCTGCATTTTCACGGCCAGAGCATCAAATTCCACGCGGGTTACAAAAGGGTTCTATGCGGGATCAATAACGTGGAGGTTTCTTAAGATAACGGGTTCCTGTTCCTGTGGCATACTTGCAAAACCCTCAATCATCCTACATCCTAAACTGAAACCTTCAATTCTAAACCCTAAATCCTAAACCCTGAGATCTTAATAGGGGGGTCCTGTTTATAAAGCATATGTGCAAAGCCCAAAATCCTAAGCCCTAAGCCCTACACCCCAAACTCTAAACTTTGACTCTAAACCCTAAATCCTAAACCCTAAGCCCTGAACCCCAAATTCTAAACCCTAAATCCGTAACCGTATGCCCTAAGCCGTAAATTCTACACCCTAAAAAATAAACCCTAAACCCCTAAA